ACTTCAATCGGATTGGTTCATTCTCTGATTCGTTCTACAGTATGATGATCAGATTTGTCACTGCACATTTTGGGCCGCCCGCTACGGGACTGTAGAGGAGGGGTCACACCTAGGAATTAAAGGGAAAAGCTCCTCAGTCAGAAAATGGGCTTCTGTTAGCGCGGGCTTTTAAAGCGGAACCATTTGTACCATTTGCGGGCGTGTCCATTGAGCTGGGCCCAGAACTTTCTACGCTGTGCCGGACCCAAAAGGATGTTCAAAGTACTGTACCAACTCGACGTCGAAGTATGTCGGTGAATCCTGACGGTTGGAACCGTAGATCTGAGAGTTGAAATTCACCGACTTTCTTCGACGTCAAGGGATGCAGTACTTTGAACACGCTTTAACAGGTGACGCAAACCAGTGAAACTTGGGTTGCAGGTCGTCTCAGTTCTAATTTTCAGACCAGCAACAGTCCATATCTAGCTGCTTCTAGCTGCTCCAGATCCACCCTCAGGGCGGGTCCAACTTGTTTTGTTTCAGGGGATACATCACTGTCCGGATTTAAGCAGCCAATTCGAACCTAAACACGTGCAGCGTCATGGCGATCCCAGGCGGGCACAGCACCTGCCCAAACGAACCGGTGTGACATCAACTCGGACACAGCATCCCTCCCGTATGAACAGAAGTTGGTGGGGAAAAAAATCATGTGTGCAATCGGCAGACTTCGTCAGGGGTTTTGTGGGAAGACACTCGAGGAATTGGAACTGTTGCGAGACAGATTACCGTATGACGAAAATAATCCTGTTCGCAATCACGAGTATACTCTGTTACTGGGAAGTTTGAGCGAGAGAGTTTGATTTGCTCTTGCTTCCCAGTTCGCAAAATTTTCGGAAATCTTTCGAGTTTGAAATGTGTTGTGGCATGAAACTGGTTTTGCATGTGGGAAAACCTAGCGCGTTATCCCGGCTGGTCTCAAGATTGACGCGGTTACCCTAAAGAAAACGGTTTGAAAGGCTAAAATGACCTGAGCTGTGATGAGTTGGACCCGCCCTTCAACCAGCCCGTGGAGAGTGTACAGACTTGATCTCGCCTCTAACGAAAATGGCAGTCGTTAGCGCATACCCTTTTCAGAAGAAACAACCACACAGTGTGCGCCATCAATACTGTATCACAAGGACTACACTCTTGGAAAGTTTGGCTGTTCGAGTCCGACAATTGTTTGCGCATACGGTTACTTTGAATGGTGACAGACCTCGTGACACATCATCATAAGTGCTGAACAAGGTCGAAACAAGGTCCGACTGTGGTGCGAGAGGATGAGCTTGTGTACTGTCCACATACATCGCGCAACAACCGTGCGCAGCACGTGGAACTATTCCACCAATCAAATCGACGATTGTGCTCCAGCCAGAATGTTATGATAAGGAGGAACCGTGAGAGTTCCTGCATCCTTTCGTTGTGGTCACAAAGCCTGAGGAGTGAATGGATGGCTGCATTTCACAGCACATGCCTTGTGATAATGCAACAACCCTGCACAAAATATCGCAATGCTGTTTGTTTGTTCGGCTGCTTGGTGTTTTGAAAGTGTAAGTTTTGAAGGGTTGCTTGATTTGTCAAACGGTTGGCACTCATTGTTAGCAGAACATTGGATTCGGTGTCATCGTTTAGCTAAAATCCTAGCACAAAGCCGATTTCTGAAGCTCTGAAACCCTGGGCGGTCAGCGCAACGAGCTGAGACACGGACACCGACAGGATCAGCACATTCTGTTCTGCTCTCTTCCCACGCTAAGCTCTTTAACAGTATGACACAAACCCAGTCACAAGTCAGGAGGGACTTCTGCCATGACAACTGCAGTTCAAACTCTACTACTACTAATACTGCGTTCTAGACGAAGCTTTTTGGGGAGACGCACTGAACCCATGATTGCTGCCAGTACTACTACTAGTACAATGACTAACACGAAACATCAACGAGAATAATTCATCAGGAACTTAAGTTTGCCAAGGCTGCGAAATTAGAATACGCTCGATCAGGGACTCCGAGTCATAAAAATTATTCAGTCCCGAATCTTGCCTCCTTACTTCTTAAGTCCAAGTCCGACGACCCAATTGTCTTCTAGGATACGGCTAGGTCACGTTTGGGTCACCTTTTGGTCATAAAAGGCCATCACCAAAAAGTGTCGGTCCGAAATGCAGCCGGCCAGCTAGGTGGTCCACATTGTGTCATTTGACCCCCCAAAAGTGTCCAAAAAGAGTCTTCACCCAAAATTGAAGGGTCTAAAAATGTCCGAAAATTAGCCAAAACGCGAAGTATCCGGAATCTGTCCAAGAAGTCTCCGATTCATGTTACTATGCAGAAGGTCGGGGATCGATGCTTGCCTGGTGCACTATACCGAACACAAAATTGTTAGATTAGGAAAGAAAACGAACACTCCCAATTATAAGTTGCTTTTTACTAGCTAGAATCGATCTCGCGATCTCCCAATCGCACGCGCGATTCGTAACCACTACGCTAACTCGGTTGTAAACCAAGCAAGTTGGTTCAATTAAACTCAAAATCCAATCAAAAACTCCTTCGCAACATGTTGACACCTGTTGCCAGGGTTGCCACCTGTCACACCACCTGCCACACAAACGCCTTCCTGTGCAGGTTAGGCTCGGAAAACATTAGCCACAGCTACCTACACACCTTACCAAACTCATCCCCCAACCACTCTCGACTTGTCCATCCCTTTCAGATCTAGATGCTCCATTTTTTAAACTGAGCTTTTCACTCGAGCATTTCTTGCCCAACATTTGTTCGCACGATCTGTTTTGGTTAGCCTAGCACTACGACTTTTGTAGAACCAATCTAGCTTTGCGGATGTTATACATTTAGGTTTATAAATCCAGTTTCTGCTTTTCTATGCAACAATGTCATGGTGTTCATCGCTTGCTGAGATGTGCGCGGTCCTACGTTTTTTATTCATTCATACAACCAGAATAACGCATTCCATGACGTCGTTTACTTATACCGCTCCTATTTCCAATATCTATCTATCCCCAGTGCAGCATTTGACGGTCTTCTTTTTACGTAACAAGTTATTCAACTTCGGGCGCTGCTAAGGAGCGCTACGGGCACTGCTAAGGAGCGCGATGGGCGCTGCTAAGGAGCGAGACTGACGCTGCTACGGCGGGTGCTGCTAAGAGACGAGATGGGTGCAACTAAGTGCTCGACGGGCGCTGCTAATGCGGCTGCTGCTTAGAGGCGCGATGAAGAGCGGTAATTACATTGTTTAATTCAATATGAACCTGTGTGTTAACGGTTGCTAATCATCGCTTACCTTCTGATGTTTGTTTCAGTTGCATTTGGTGAAGATTTCCTTCATAGAGGGTGAATGTGTCATCACGCAGGTCGGTTTGTTTGATTCAATGTTGGCATTTTTTGTGGTTACCGACTTATACGTACATACAAGCTTCACGTTGATTTCGCGGTTTTGTTTGTTTCCTCCCCTTTGAAAGTGCTCGCAATCTGAAGGTTTTGTTTAATATTTCACAGCCGCCATTTAGTTCTCTATCACTAAGGTACGCGTCGGGCGCTGCTTTGTCAGGACGCTGCAAAGGGTCGTGACGGGTGCTGCTTACCCTGTTGCTGGTAAGAGGCCCCATCAAAGGTGGTGCTCAATTTGCTTAATGATTTGTTGATATAGCCAGTGAATCTTGTACTTATTGGTTTTTCTTGTATTCAGAGATGTATTAATCACCGTGTAAATGGAGATGTTTGTTTCAATCGTTTCTGGTGACTATTTTCAACCTTGTTGGACAATGTGTCATCAGTCACCACGGTTTGTACGTTTTAGTATAAGCAATTTTGTAGTTATTATTTTTTGGAATGGACCTTGTGGCTCATTCAATATTGTTCTTCAATCCGTGCAGGTTATTTTTCTTTTAAGCATTAACTAATGGGGGTTCGTATATTTATCTGGCAATGCATTATTTAGTTTCTAGCAGTTTGTATAAGTAGAAATGCCTTTGCATGTTCTTTATTAAAAATCATGTAAACAATGGTTGGGTATAAATTTTATTGGTAAAACGCATCTTAGTATATCGGGTACGTGATGTACACATATTGCCTTCGCTTTTCGTATTGTCCAAATGGACTCTTCGCGGACTCTTTGGTCGGACCTAAAACAGACTCCGGAATGTAGCAGGCCTTGGTCCAAAAAGTCTCTTTTTCTGCACGTCCGGAATCCGTCCAGAAAGAGTCCGTTCGGACTCTTGGGGACAACTTTGGGACGCTGGAAAATGGAGATGGCATTTCCTGACACTTTTGGACAGACTCGGAGAAGAAATTTTGTCCTTCAAGGTCCGACCTTTTACAGATTCGTGAACATTTTGACTCCTTGGATAGCTCGTTCTACCGTTAGAACTTCTTGCTGGACCGGAGATCAGCTACTACTGATACTATCAGCTACTACTGATTGAGGACTCTCTCCTTGGCAAGGTAACATATGCTGAACTTCAGAATAAGCCTGTTTCATGTAACCCCCACCAATCCTCCATCCCAGCCCCTCATCCTTCTCCTCGCAGTTAGCACTAGCACTATAATGGAACTTGATCATTTACACGAAAATAAGCAGGCTGGAGAGGAGGCCGCATCAGGATTCCAACGGCAGATAATCCAGCGAGAGCAGCTGCAAGGGCAGATCATGCCACGACAGCAGCAGTTGCCTAAACAGATGCCACAACAGCAGATGAAAGAGCAGCTGACACAGGAGCAGGTCATGAAAGAGCAGATGATAGAGCGGCAGAGTCAGGAACAGATGAAAGAAAAGCAGATGGAAGAGCAGCGGATGAAACAAAAACAAATGCCACAGCAGCAAGTGATGAAACATCAGCGGATGGAAGAGCAGCGGCAGATGCAACCACAGCAGACGCAACAGCAACAGAGGCAGCAGCGGCAAATGGAAAGGCCGCAGATGCAACAAGAGAAGATGCAAGGGCAGCAGATGCCACCGAATCAGACACGGCAGCAGCAGATGCAACAGCAGCAGATGCCACAGAAGTTTGCAGGACAGCCTTATGCAGCACTGCTACAGTCACACTTACCGCATGCACTAGTACAAGGTGAGACTGCCGCTGGTGCAGGCACATCAGACTCCAGAGCCAAGCGCGTTTTGACGCGCAACAGAAACTACAACCAGTATGGGAAGTATCGGGGAGTGAGGAAGCGTGGGGCGTCTGGCTACATTGCGGAGATTAAGGACACGACTCACGGGTTCCGCAAATGGTTGGGCACGTTTTCTTCTGCAGAAGAGGCGGCTCGGTTGTTCGATAGAGCTGCTTTTGGTGTCCGAGGCTCAAAGGCGAAGCTCAACTTTCCAAAAGTATTTTTCCAGGAAAGGGGAGCAGTGGGTTCCAATTCTGCAGATCCAGAAGCACCGGTTCAGATGGAAGCCGCAGGAATGGAGGAAGGTAATATTGGTGACAAAGGTCGCCTGCGAGTGCCAAAGATTAGGGTATCCAAAGGAAAAGTCGGAAAGGGAAGCTCTGGGAGCTCTGGAGGGGAAGGGAAAGACGGAGCACATGCTGAAGGTGCTGCAGACGGGCAGTCGGAGGGAATGGATGCGATCAAGTTCAATTCATTTGGAGAGGGAACAGCTAGGGCAATGGAAGCGGTTGCAACAGAATCAGGGGCTGTGGGTTCTGCGTCAGTTTGTGAAGCAGCAGGAAGGGGAGATGGTGATGGAGGAGGGGGGGGAGGAGGAGGAGGAGGAGGAGGAGGAGGAGGAGGAGGAGGAGGAGGAGGAGGAGGAGAGAGGGTAAGAGGGGTATGCGTAGCAATAGAGGCGTCATCAGTAGCAGTACCGGCATACACCCTGGAAAGAAGCTCCACCGTTAGTAGCAGCAGCTCTAGCGGAACCGTCCCTTTTTCCTCTGTTGTATCCATCTCTTCGTCGTCCGCCTTTGCCCCTTCTGGCCCGGCCATTTTCTTACAATCCAGCCTTCCTGCTTCCTCTGCTTACTCCACATCTACCTCTTCCCTTCACTCCACCCTTCCTGCTGCTGCTTCCCATTACCCCTCTTCCTATTTCCTACAACCCAGCCTTCCTGGTTCCTCTTCACACTGGCCCTCTTCTGTTTCCCCGCATTCCACTCTTCGTGCGATCTCTTCCCCTGAAGCTGCACTTACCACTCTTCCTCACCATGCCATGCTTCCATCTTATCCTGGTGTATTGCAAACCTCAGCTGCCGCACCATCCACTAGTGACAATACCGTGGGTCGCTCTTCTATCCCGCAGCGGAATTTACCATGTGCTGGAATTGCTGGGAATGAGTTGCTGGGCTTTGCTGTGCCAGGAGCAGGTACAGTTAGGATTGAAGAGTTGGGATTCAAGGGCGTGGGATTAGACGGGGGGCGGTCCGATGCGGTTTTGGAGCGGTTTGTTCAACAGCTGGTGAAGGTTGAAGAAGGAAATGAGGCTGGAGTGAGTGGGGTTTGTGCTGCAAAATGCACGCAAGGAGCAAAAGAAGGGGAAATATTTGCAGAGGAAGGAAACAGTGGGAGCAGCAATATAGTTGGCACTAAGGGGATGACAGAGGAGGAGGAGGAGGGTGTGATGGAGATGAAGATGAGAATAGATGAGCATTTTGCTGGTCTTGTTTCTCCTCATGGTTGTGTGGCAACGGTGACAGGAATGCAGGCTGCTGATCAACACTATCAGTTGCCTCACAGCCTTCACTCAAAGGCGCAGCAGCTAAACCATCAGGTGGAAAACTATCAGCAGCAGCAGCGCAGCAGCAGCAGCAGCAGCAGCAGCAGCAGCAGCAGCAGCAGCAGCAGCAGCAGCAGCAGCAGCAGCAGCAGCAGCAGCAGCAGCAGCAGCAGCAGCAGCAGCAGCAGCAGCAGCAGCAGCAGCAGCAGCAGCAGCAGCAGCAGCGGCAGCAGCAGCAGCAGCAGCAGCGGCAGCAGCAGCAGCAGCAGTTACAACAGCAGCATCTGCAGACACTGCTGCAGCAGCAATTGCATTTAATGGACCAACAAGATCATAAGAAACAGCAGCAGCACCAGCAGCAGCAGCACCAGCAACGCCTTGCGTCAAGTCTCCCTAGATGCAGTTTTCTTCACCTCAAGGCTGGACGGAGGCACACGGCAGCTGCACGGCGTGCGTCTGCAGACCTCACAGGTCAGAATTTCATCAGGGAGGAGAATCTGGAGCAGCAGACACTTGGGAGTCACACCCCGGACTTGGAAAGAGACGACACAAGGTCCATGCCTCATTCCGAACCTGCGCCTCGTATGTTTCGAAGCCACAGCGTTGCTTTCCCTCTGGAACCACCAGTCGTCCGTGCTTCAACCCCTGAAGGTGTGAGTGGTTCAAATGGTGGTGAGTTTGCTTGTGGTTCGGGTGCTGTGGATCCTATGAGTGGTATATCTGGTGCAGCTGCAAGTGAGGGTAGTGGGCATGGGAGCCCGGCAGCTGCTGCCATTGTTGCCGGTAGTGGTGCTGCTGGTATTGCCGATGCTTCTGGTGTTTTGGGTGCTCCTGGTGTGGTAGGCCTTGCATCCACCCCAACCTGCTCTCCCAAAGCTGATCCGACTTGCTTCCCGCACAGGGTGAGGCGATCAAGGTCATATGAACGGGGATCAATGGGAGCAGGACTGCTGGACAGGGCAATGTTGCATGCACCAGCGTACCAACAAGAGGTGGCAACCAAGGTTAACGTCCAAGGTTTACTAAATCAGTTTGAAGAGCAACTGGGGAGGGATTCTAGCACGCGCGAGCCACATACAAGGAATGAACATATGATCCCGCATCAGCTGATACAGAAGAGAGAGGTGGAGGGGCAGCAGGGGATGTGGTTGGCCTGGATGCAGATGGCAGCAGCAGCAGCAGCAGCAGCAGCAGCAGCAGCAGCAGCAGCAGCAGCAGCAGCAGCAGCAGCAGCAGCACCAGCAGCAGCAGCAGGAGCAGAAGCAGGAGCAGGAGCATCAGCAGCAGCAGCAGCAGCAGCAGCAGATGCAGCAGCAGCAGCAGCAGCAACAGCAGCAGCAGCAGCAGCAACAGCAACAGCAGCAGCACCAACAGCAGCAGCAGCAGCAGCAGCATCAGCAGCAGCAGCAGCAGCAGCAGCAGCAGCAGCAGCAGCACCTTGTGTCAAGCATCTCGCAATGGATTTCTCTACGCTTGAAGGCTGGAAAAGGGGGTAAGGCAGCTGCAAGGCGTGCTTCTGCAGACCCCACAGCTCAATCTTCCCTCAAGGAGGAAATGACTGAGCAGCAGGATTTAAGAAGCCATACCTCAGTCTTGGAAAGAGATGTCACAAGGTCCAAGTTTTCCAGCCCTCCTTGGTCCGGGCCTCAACCCATGCCTCGTTCCGAATCTGTGTCTCCTATGATTCGAAGCCACAGCGTCTCTTTCCCTTTGAAACTACCAACCATCACTGCTTCAACCCCTCATTTCCTGCCCTGTGTGGACAGCACAGGTGAGGTGAGTGGTGTGAGCAGGGCAAATGGTGCTGATGCTGCTCGTGGTTCGGATGCTGTGGGTCCTATGGTAGGTATATCTGCTGCTGGTTCAAGTGTGGGTAGTGGACTTAGCAGCCTGGCAGCTGCTGCCAACTTTGCCACTGCTGCCAGTGTTGCTCGTGTTGCTGGTGTTGATGGTGCTGCCAGTGTTGCCGGTGCTGCCGGTTTTGCCGCTCCTGCCAGTGTTGCTAGTGCTGCTGGTGTTGCTGGTGCTTCTGGCGTTGCCGGTGGTGCTGGTGATGCCGGTGCTATTGGTTTTGCTGGTGTTGCTGGTCTTGCCAGTGCTGCCAGTGTTGCCAGTGCTGCTGGTGTTGACGGTGCTGCCGGTTTTGCTGCTCCTGCCAGTGAACCTGGTGCTGCTGGTGTTGCTGGTGCTGCTGGCGTTGCCGGTAGTGCTGGTGGTGCCGGTGCTGTTGGCTATGCCGGTGTTGCTGGTCTTGCCGGTGTTGCTGGTCTTGCCGGTGCTGCTGGTGTTGCCAGTGCTGCCGGTGTTGCTGGTGCTGGTGGTTTTGCCGTTGCTGCTGGTTTTGCCGGTGCTGCTGGTTTTACCGGTGCTGCTGGTCTTGCCGGTGCTGCTGGTCTTGACGGTGCTGCTGGTTTTGCCAATGCTGCTGGTTTTGCTCGTGATGCTAGCAAAACTGTTGCTGCTGGTGTTTTCAGTGCTGCTGGTGTTGCTAGTGTTGCTGGTGCACCTCATGTGTACGGGCTTGCATCCACCCCTGCCCGCTTTCTCAAACCAGATCCGAATTTTCTCCTGCACAGGGTCAGGAGAGCACGCTCACATGATCGGGGGGCAATGGGAGCAGTTCTGATGGACAGGGCAATGTTGCATGCTCCAGCATACCAGCAACGGGTGGCAGACATAACTTACGGCGAAGGGTTACCAAGCCAATTTGAAGGGCAACCAGGGAGGCATGCCAGCAGGCATCTGCCTTATGAGTCACCTCAAAAACCGCCTAGAAGGTACGGACACAGCAGCCCGCATCAGCTAATGCAGCAGAGAGAATGGGAGGGGCAGCAGAAGCTGTGGCTGGACGAGAGGCAGTTGGCATGGCAGCAGCAGCAGCAGCAGCATCAACAGCAGTGGCAGCAGCAGCAGCAGCAGCAGCAACAGCAGCGGCAGCAGGATTCACACTCAGTGCTGCAGCAGCAGTTGCATTCAATGCATCAACAAGAGCAGCAACAGCAGCATCATCATAAGCAGAAGCGTAAGCAGCACCAGCGTCCACAGTCAGTGCTGCATCAACAGTTGCAGTTGATGCACCAACAAGAGCAGCAGCAGCAAGAGCAGCAGCAGCAGCAGCAGCAGCAGCAGCAACAGCAAGGGCCACTCTCGCCCTTCCAGCAAGCTTTCTCATCTTGCAGACTGTCTCTCCCTCCCATAACACCTTTTCAATCCACTCAAAAGTCTCCTCGCCTACAGGCTCCTGCCGCTAGTCGCCTACAGCCATTCGTAGTCACCTGCCGCTAGCTGAGCTCGAGCATTTTGGCGACTGCAAATCCGCTAAGGCCCTGTACGATGCTGTCGTTGCTCGCTACTCCTCGCCTGCCACAGCCGAGCTTAGCCGCCTCATGCTGCCGTACCTGTTCCCCGATCTGTCCACCTTTACTACAGTCGCCGATCTTATCACCCACCTTCGCACTAGTGATGCTCGCCTGCGTGCCGCCCTTCCCACCGAGTTCTGCGCTAAGAACCCCCCTCCACTGTACTGGACACTCCACTTCATAGTCACCCGTCTCCCTGACACCCTCCGCTCAGTTCGAGACCACTTCCTTGCTCGCTGTCCCACTGAGCTCACAGTCGCCCTCCTAGAGGAGCAGCTGCTCGCGGCCGAAAAGAGCATTGTAGCTGTTGGTGCTGCTCGTGGCGCTCCTCGCACCCCCATCTTTGAGGGGTGTTCTCCCTCTCCCCTCGCTCCCTCCTACGCTGCTGCTGCTGCTGTTGACTTCCTTGGTGCTGAGTCTGTTGGCGCTGCTTCTGCTCCTGGTGGGAGGCGCCGCACCGGCAAGGGCAAGGGGGGCAAGGGTGGTGGTGGTGGCGCTGGGGGGGGAGGAGGTGGGGGAGGTGGGGGGGGAGGCGGTGCTGGAGGGAGCGGTGGCGGGAGCGCTGGTGGGAGTGGGGTCGGTGGTGGAGGCGGGGGCGGCGGAGGAAGCAGTGGCAGTAGTGGCGGCGGCGGCGGTGGCGGCGGTGGCGGTGGTGGCGGTGGTGGCGGTGGCGGTCGGAGCGGTGGTAGTGGTGGCGGCGGAGGTCGGAGTGGAGGCACTGGCTCGGGCCAGAGCTCCCAGCAGCAGCAGCGTCCCCAGACGACCCAGCAGCTTCGTGAGTGGCTTGCTCAGCGTGGGACGTCGGGGGGCAGTGGCCGCTGTTCTTATGTCATTCGCACAGGTGACCGCAAGGGACAGACGTGTGGGAGGTTCCACACCCCGTACCGCTGCTTCTCCCGCCTTGACGACGCTTGGCGTGAGGAGATGGGTGCGGATGTTGAGCGCCCCCGCTGGGCTGAGCTCATGAGGGCTGGTGTTGATGTCTTTGCTCTTGACTATGATGCTATTATTGCTGCCATGTATGCATTGACTGTTAGTGCCGAGGGAGACTGTTACTTGTGTGTGCCGCCTGACCCAGGTATAGAGCCCGCTGCCCTAGGTACTCGTGAGTCTGCTCTCTCTGGTATGGTGCCCCCTGTACTTGCTCCCTCCAGTGCTGTCCCGGCTGGTTTCGAGTCTGCTCTCTCAGGTACAGCACCCACAGAGACTGCTCTCTCAGGTACCGCACCGGCTGAGGCCTGTCACACCTTCACCCTTGACTCAGGTGCTTCCCGTTGCTTCTTTCGTGACAGTACTGAGCTCACACCGCTTCCTGCACCGGTCCCAGTCTCCTTGGCTGACCCCTCTGGGGGCCCAGTCCTTGCCCAGTCCACCACTGTCCTCCCTTGTCCGGCGGTTCCGTCTGGCTCGTTGTCGGGTTTCCACCTCCCCTCGTTCTCGACGAACTTGGTGAGCAACGCTGTCCTCCAGGATCAGTGGGTTGACACCTTTACCCCTGGCGGACAGCGTGTGGCGATCTGCACGTGCTCCAGGACCGGCCGTCACCTGGCTACGTTTACCCGTCGGCCGGGGTCGAGTCTCTACACACTGACCACTGCGTCTCCTCAGGTCGCTGCTGTCGGTCAGGTGTCTGCGTCAGGTCTGGTAGCCCACGCCTGTGAGTGTCGTTCCCTGTCGCACCAGACTCTTCTCTGGCACCACCGCCTGGGTCACCCCTCCTTGCCACGCCTTCGTGGCATGCACCGTCGCCACCTTGTGTCTGGTCTTCCCAGGTCCCTCCCTCCCCTCCCTGCCTCGCCTGCGCCGCCTTGCCTTCCTTGCGTCGAGGGGCGGCAGCGCGCCGCTCCTCACTCCTCCTCGTTCCCCCCGACAGAGGCTCCTCTGCAGACCCTCCACCTGGACGTGTGGGGCCCAGCCCGCGTTCGTGGTCAGGGCGGTGAGCGGTACTTTTTGCTGGTTGTCGACGACTACTCGCGTTACACCACGGTCTTCCCCTTGCGCACCAAGGGTGAGGTCCCTGCTGTTCTGATCCCTTGGATCCGCACGGTTCGTCTCCAGCTCCGCCGCCGTTTCCGGACGGATCTTCCTGTCCTGCGTCTGCACTCTGACAGAGGTGGTGAGTTTTCCTCCGATCTCTTGAGGACCTTCTGTCAGGCGGAGGGCATCGAGCAGACCTTCACGCTTCCGGACTCCCCACAGCAGAATGGGGTTGCTGAGCGCCGCATTGGCCTGGTCATGGAGGTCGCTCGTACCTCCTTGGTCCACGCGGCGGCTCCCCATTTTCTGTGGCCGTTTGCTGTCCGGTACGCCGCGCATCAGCTCAACCTCTGGCCCCGTGTCTCCTTGCCGGAGACCTCGCCCACACTGCGTTGGACGGGGGAGGTTGGCGATGCGTCGCGCTTCCGGGTGTGGGGTGCTCGTGCCCTTGTCCGCGATACGTCCGCGGACAAGCTCTCCTCCCGCACGCTTCCCTGTGTCTTCCTTGGCTTTGTCCCTGACGCGCCTGGCTGGCAGTTTTACCACCCCACCTCGCGCCGGGTCTTCGCCTCTCAGGATGTCACCTTTGACGAGTCGGTCCCTTTTTACCGTCTCTTCCCCTACCGCACTGCCCCCCTCCCTCCCCCGCCGCTTTTCCTTGCTCCTGGTCCCCCTCCGGTAGACCCCCTTCCCCCTCAGGGTCCTGCTCCTTCAGGTGTCTCTCAGGTAGACCCTCCTCCCGTCGCTGAGCCTGTCGAGTTCACAGGTGACTCAGGTGCTGCTGCGGGTGGTGCTGCTGGGAGTGCTGAGCCTGGGGGTGCTGAGCCTGGGGGTGCTGGGCCTGGGGGTGCTGGGGCTGCAGGTGCTGGGACTGAGGGTGCTGGAGCTGAGGGTACGGTGCCTGAGAGTACGGAGCCTGGGGGTGCTGAGCCTGGGGGTGCTGAGCCTGCGGGTGCGGGGCCTGGGAGTGCTGGGACTACGGGTGCTGGAGCTGAGGGTACTGTGCCTGAGAGTTTGCCGCCTGGGGGTGCTGAGCCTGGGGGTGCTGCGACTGGGGGTGCTGAGCCTGCGGGTACTGAGCCTGCGGGTACTGAGCCTGGGGGTGCTGCTACTGAGCCTACGGAGCCTCGGGTTACTGCGTCTGGGGGTGCTCCGGTTCGGGGTGCTGAGCAGTCTCTCACACCGCAGCAGCTTCGTGACTGGTACGTCCGACGCTTTCGCCGTCCTAGTGGCTCGGCTGGAGTTGGGGGTGCTGGGGCTGCTCGTCCTGGGGGTGCTCGTACTGGGGGTACTGGAGCTGCCGGGACTGGTTGTTCTGGGAGCACTGCGACTGGAGCTGCTGGAGCTGGGGACCCTGGCGCTGGCGGTGCTAGCGGAGTTGGAGCTGCCGACTCTGGGGGTGGCGCTGCTGCTGGTGCTGCGGACCCGCCTGGTGGAGCTGCTGCTGGAGCTGAGGACCTGAGCGGTGGCGCTGCTGCTGGTGCTGGGGACCCGGCCGTTGGAGCTCCTGCTGGTGCTGAGGACCCGGCCGCTGGAGTCTCTTCTGCTTCTGGAGACGCTGCGCGGCCGCGACCGTACTTCGTCCCGCTCCTTCAGCAGGTTCTTGGGCAGGCTCCTCCTCCTTGTCCTCCTCCCTTCGTAGAGTGTCCTCCGCCTGTCCAGCCGCAGTCACAGTTACCGCCTGCCTCGCCTCTCCCTGCTCCCTCTCCTTACACTGGTCCCACAGGAGGTCTTACAGAGCGTCGTGAGCCTGAGTCTCGTCCTGCGTCACCTGTTCGTCCTGCTCGCGCTGGTAGTCGTGTCCGTCGTGAGCGTCCTCCTCCTGTCCCAGGCACTCACTACATGACTCTGCGTCCCTCTACTGCTCCTCAGCGTGTCCCTCTACCGTCTCCTCCTGCGTCCTCTTTGCCTGCCGTTCCGGACCCTGAGTCTGACCGGTATCGTGCTGAGCACCCTACAGTCACGCGTCTCCTAGCTACTGTTGTCACTGACCCTACCTTTGAGTCCTCTGCTGCGTCTGCTCTGGTCGCTGAGTTGGTTGACTTTGCTGCTGCCTGTCGTCTAGACTACGCTGCTAGCCTTGTTGCTGAGCCTGAGTCTGCGTCTGTCTGTCCTCCGTCCGTCGGGGGTGAGTGTGCTCTTGGCACGGACGTCCTTGAGGACAGGCAGGAGGACTTTGACTCTCTTGCGGCTGCTGTACCTCATCTCGTGGCCTGGTTGCTTGCCCCTGAGGGAGACCCGGATGCACTAGACATCCCCACTCCGCGCACTTACGCAGAGGCGATCTCGGGTCCCTACTCCTCTCAGTGGCAGACAGCCATGGACGCAGAGATGGCATCCTGGAAGTCCACAGGCACCTACGTCGACGAGGTTCCCCCTCCTGAGGCTGCCTCATGTACCTGATGACTTGCACGCGACCTGACCTCGCGTACCCTCTTAGCATCCTTGCTCGTTACGTTGCGCCTGGGAGACACAGGCGAGAGCACTGGGAGGCGGCTAAGAGGGTGCTGCGTTACTTGTGCAGTACATCAGGCATGGGGCTGGTGCTTGGAGGACACGACAGAGTTGTCCTCACTGGTCACTCGGACGCTTCTTGGGTGGACGACCTGGCTACGCAGCGGTCGTCACAGGGTTACACCTTCAGCCTTGGCTCTGGTTCTGTCTCGTGGCGGTCCACCCGCTCTTCCTCTGTTCTCGGCTCTAGTTGTGAGGCTGAGATCTACGCCACAGCCATGGCTGCACAGGAGTTACGCTGGCTCACCTACCTGCTGACTGACTTGGGAGAGCGGCCTAGTTCTCCTCCAGTTCTGTACGGTGACAACAAGGCGGCTCTTGCCTTGTGTCAGGAGCACAGACTGGAGCATAGGACGAAGCACATTGCTCTTCGCTACTTTCTTGCTCGAGAGCTTCAGCAGCGCGGTCAGCTTCGGCTTGTGTACGTGGACTCGAAGGCCAACACTGCTGATATCTTCACCAAGGCGCTCCCGCCTAGTGATCATCAGCGGCACTGTACTTCTTTAGGCCTTGTGTCCACGTTTCCTCACTTGCTCACTGCTTGACATTCTTTGTACTGTACTTTATATATATCTTGTTGCTTGCTTGCTAGGTTTTGATCACTGTGTTGCTTGTCTTGTACTATATCTAGCACTGCATGTGAACTGGCCTTGTGGCCTTTACTTGTGCTCGGAGTGTGGTGACGTTGTGATCCACCCTGGGCTTTGCTTTGCTTTGCTGGACTGGTCTTGTGACCCTTTGTTCTCCCCCACTTTGCCTATGGGGTTGTGTGTAGGCTGTAGTGGGGTAGCCAATATGGGGTACAACCCCAACTAGGGTTTCATATTTGTACCCAAACTTCTGCTAGTTCATTCATTCTTGCCTAGCTATTCTGAAATCTTGTCCCCATAACTTCTGCTTCTCTCACCTCCGCTGCTGTAGCCACTGCTGCCAATATTGCTGCCGGTGCTGCTGCTGGCTCTTCTACTGCTGCCAGGGCTGAGGCAGCAGTCCCCACTCCCCTCTTCTCTCCAACCACCATCTTCCACAAATTTTCCAGATTTCCTGGATCCAGCTATTCACAGCCAGGTGTTATTGAATTTTCTGGATCCGGCTATTCACAGCCAGGCGCTATTGAAGCCCTGGGGCGTGTTGTCTCTGGGAGAATCGACGACTTTGAAACCGGCGGTTCTGGCAGTGGTGATGGCGATGTGCTCATGGAGGAAGTCACAGCAGCAAAATTTGGGGCTGCGTGCAGTGGTGTTGGTGGTGGTGGTGGTGGTGTTGGTGGTGTGGTGGTGGTGGTGGTGGTGGTGGTGGTGGTGGTGGTGGTGGTGGTGGTGGTGGTGGTGGTGGTGGTGGTGGTGGTGGTGGTGGTGGTGGTGGTGGTGGTGGTGGTGGTGGTGGTGGTGGTGGTGGTGGTGGTGGTGGTGGTGGTGGTGGTGGTGGTGGTGGTGGTGGTGGTGGTGGTGGTGGTGGTGGTGGTGGTGGTGGTGGTGGTGGTGGTGGTGGTGGTGGTGGTGGTGGTGGTGGTGGTGTAATGCATTCTACCACGGAGCGCCATATTGAGGAACAGCAATACGCGGAGCACCATTGTACGGGGCAGCATAGTACAGAGCAGCCTAGTGTGAAGCAGACTACTGTGGACCAGGATTGTGAACACCAGCCGTTTGCGGGCCAGCTTAGTCTGGAAAAACTATGTGTGGATGAGTTGTGTGCCACCCAGCTTAGTGCTAACCAGCTGTGTTCTGCCCAACAGCAGGTCATGGCAGATTTTAGCCTTCCGCTTTCTCAACCCTCAAAAGACATGTTGCTTCCGGAGGGCACGCACCTCATGTCGTCTGCTGCCGCGCACATCTCCACCCAGTTTCCTCATATCAACAGAACAACCTGTTTGAGTTTCGAGAACTACACCAGTGCTGTCCCTTATATGGAGCATTTGCGAGCAAGGGGTATATATTCTGATGTTGGTAGAGAGGCTATGGATGTGGGAGTGTCAGCGGACAGTGCAGAAGATATCCGGCCTTTGGCTGCGGGTGCCACTGATGCTGGGGTCTTCACAATTGATCGGCTAGAGGTGTTGCTGATGGATACCGGGGAGCATCAGAAAACAAGATTAGCGGTGTAAAACGCGCAGTAATTTCATGGCTGCCATAATTGTCCATCCATCCAGGAGAAAATCGGTTCGGGTTTCATGAGAAGGGATTTGAAAGTTACGGGACGGGATACGTGGATCTGGACAGGAAATGACGGGCAAGGGACGTGGTAAGAAGGAAGTTTGTTTGATGTGAGACTTATCATGGACTCAGTGCGACTCATAGAAGCTTGCAGAGTACCTTGGAAGCGTGTGAAGACTCATTGGGGCGATTGGGAACTCACAAGGACCACTGGAGATGATTTAGGAGTTTTAGTATCTGACTCTTTGAGACTTGCGAGGAGATATTTGTTGCGATGTCTGCATATTCGTCAGGTCTCCACTCCACCGATTACCTGTCTACGTCCTGACCTTCGTTCTGGCGCCACACTATCTTGCTCCCACCCTTCCACCATGCGTCCCTACCTACCTCCCTTACACTCACACTGCAAATGTCTCCCTCGCTTCAAGTGCAAATGTCTCCCTCGCTTCAAGTCCTTTCACTCCCCATTTTCCTAGTCTCCCTTCCACCCTTCCTCCCTATCATCGCGGAAAAGGAAATTTGCGATTTGGGGGGTCCGAAGGTTTTTCTGCGAAAAACCTGCGACTTAGTTGCGCGAAGTGTACAAAACACACCGCACGCAAAATGCAACAATCCGCACACCAGTGTCGAGGGTTTTGACTGAAACAAAAGTGCCACACAAAAGTTGCATTTCCGTCAACACTTTTGCTTCACGCGGTGGCGCACGGTCGACACAGATTACAAGCGGTGTAGCACTGTGACAATGTTTGTGAAATGTAACAAACGAACAAACGAAACAAAGCGACGCCACGAAATCAAGCGAGTTTATGCAGTTGGAAACCCGCTTCTCGTTATTTCAAAATCAGAACCCAAACCAACCCAATCCAAACCTCAGACAGCGGATGGCTTCTTCAGTGGTGTGATGTGTGAGCCTTAAAATCATTTTCACCCAATCCGCACACGCCGAAATATACACGTCAGCCAACCCAACCTAGGCAAACCAAACATCCACCGAATATGCCCTCAGCTTCCCACGAGAATCTCTCTCTCCCAAGATTCCCCTGTACGCCTGCAGTTCCAGTACTAAAACACACAACCAACCTTGTTCTTACTCCCCCTTCATTAATTTTCCCCTTCGACGTTCACCAGATGGATGCTCCTAGTACTCAAGTCGATCACAATGTTATGTTTTACAACGTCCTGACTATGTTGCGTTCGCCATGTCAGTATTCTAATTTTTTTTCATCACTGTCCCTTTTGCACAACCCTCCCCTTTCCAGACGGCAGCTTCCTTCCGCCATCAACGTCGCGCTGCAGTAGCTGCGCTGGCTGCTGGGTAACACGTGCGTCACTGCGAGGAAGGACATTGTCACGCAACATCGCAGGTACGTTTACAGTTCTCATCTTGCAGGTGAAGCTCTCCTTATGTTATTTTATCGTGTTGTTTCAACCTAGAGGTATCCTCAGGTTCATACTACTCTCAATGTGACGTTTCGTATATTCGTTTCGTGCGTAGCAGCCATCGTCGCGAAGATCGATTTGTTGTGACTAAGGCAGTCGAAACAGCATACCGAGTCTACGGATTTGGTCGACCTGTGTCAGCCTTCTCGCTTTGGGCATGCACGCAAGTAGCGACGCGATATCATCAGTTTTTGGCCATGTGGCCATGCGACGATTGCTAAGGCCAAGTATTTGACTTTGCTGTCCCACAAAATCTGCTTTTACTAACCCCGCTCTCGCGAAGTCAGCGGGATGCATAACAGCACCCTGTGTTTGAATGTTTTGCAGAGAGAACATGGTTTTGCAGGCTTACCGTTTACCAGAAGCGCAGTATGTTTATTTTTTGCCCTTAGAGCATTCTTCAAACCATCAACGATTTTTTGTGGTCAGTACTGAACTGCATACATTGCGTTTTTCACGAGCTCTTACTTGCTATGCTATCTCGCAGGCAATCTCAATAAGCGGCAGCAACACGTTACGTCCGTGTTTCTACTAGTAGGGTTCGTTCCTTTGTCAGCTTAGGATGACTATGTCTTGTGTGCTTGTGTAGTTACAAATGTTGTGTTTTCTGTATGCAATGTTTGTTACTAGTGTACTGCTATGAAAGTCCATGTGCTATGTATTGTACAACTAAATTAACCAGAAGCGCGTATTGAAACTGCCGCTAGTGGAAATATTGCCAGCCAATAGAAAGCTAGAAACGTACACCAAAAACGATTTATGATTGGGCCATTTGTCACGTTTACGTCCGTCGATCTTAATCTGATCTGATGGTCGCCGTTAGAGTACAGTGACAGCCACGTCAGCATGTTGCAGTTTCATCTCGAGTACGTCGTATGCCACGTGGCGTTGTCTTGAAACTTTTGCATAGGTTGCTCGAAAGTGACGTTTTCCACCTCCCTAGTTGCTTTACTGTATACCTCACAAGTGTGTCAAGGTGTACAGTTTGTGTTGCGAATGTGACAGGAAAGTCACTTCGCAAGTGACTGATGCTACCACTGTTTTCGAGTCAGACTTTTTTTTTTCGCGGCAAATGTAACTCGAAAGTTACGAAAAAAGCCAGTTTGTAGTTGTTTTTCGCACTTCCCTTTTCCGTGATGATCTCCCTCTTTACCTCTGTATCAAACATTACAACCTTCAACTCTTATGCATTTTCAGCCTTCCAAACACTCTCACTCTCTACTACCCTCGCTCTCTTCCTCGTTTCTTACCTTTCCACCAGCCTCCTGGCGTGCTTTCTTCCAACCTCCTTTCCACCCTCCCCCTCATCATATTTCATCCTTTTTTTTCCCCTCTCTCGACTTCTCCATTCCGCCCCTCTAGCCTCCATTCCACCCAAATTCTCTTCCACCCTTCCTATCTTCCTCTCTTAAGCCCTTTTCTGCCTTTCTTCCTAGCCTTCTTGGGTTCTCGTCCTCTTCTTTGTTACCCACTTTCAACGAAGCCTCATTCTTTTGTTCCCACGTCTCCCCTCTCATTCTTTCATTCTCCTGCTTCAATTCCCCGCAAGGGTCAAGCGCAACATATGTCATCGGAGGGCTCAGCACTCTAAGAACCAGCGTCCAAGTGTTAGAGCTCACTAGGAGAGCATGCAGGGTAACAGTCTAAATACATACACCCTCTCTCTCTCTCTCTCTCTCTCTCTCTCTCTCTCTCTCTCTCTCTCTCTCTCTCTCACACACACACACACACACACACGATGACACCTTATTTTTGTGGTTCACGAGTAGTTGATACGGTGGAAAAAAGGTGTCATTTTGTCCCAACAAGGTTTAAAGTTAGTTACGAATAGTTAAACGAGAAGAGTTGCTGTGCATTCATGCCAGTGGAAAGAACGAAGAACTTAGAAGACAGTACGAACGCGAAGGGTCGGAGCGACGCGAACAGTTGCGAAGCATCTGGATCGTCGAAGCAGACAACTTCGGACAGCTGCAGGATCGAGGAATTGGCGGGAACCGTTTCGTAATTGCACGCGTCGTACGGTTGGGTTTGAACTTGAATAACGGAATGAACCCTTTAGAATACATAGGACCGTTCGTGTTCTCGTGTACCTTGTCAAATGTTGTAGTCTTAATGATGTGTGTTATAAGGGGTACAACTGTTGGGGTTTGGTTTATGTATCCCAACCAACCTTAGTCAAACCAACACTTTGATTCTTGACATGGCATCACCTAGATTAGGATCCTGTGGGCTCCCGTTCCTCTCGTTCACGTCCGTCGCGCCTGAGCCTGTCCCGTACCCTAGTGCCCGTTACGCTCGTGCTGTCCCCTAGCGTCTCCTGCGCTCGTCTCTCTCGTGCCCTAGCGCCCGTTGTGCTCTGGTGCTGTGCCCCCTCCACTGTTTCACGGGTGCACTGTCCCTCAGCTGCCCACCTTTACTGCCTCCCTCGCCACTGCTGCTACTGACGTGACCGCAGCTGCTGTTACGACTTCTTCGCAGTCTCGGGGTAGGAGTGGCAGGAGGGATGGTCAGGGTGCGGGCGGAGGCGGCGGGGGTGACGTGGCGAGCGGTGGCGGCGGGAGTGCAGGGGCTAGAGGAGCGCCTCGTGCAGCGGCTAGTGACTCCCCTGCTGCAGCTGGTGGAGGTGACGCCCGGGTTCGTCAGCCACCTACTGGACTGCCAGCAAGAAGGGGTGGAGCAGCGGCGTGGTACCTGACTCAGCAGCAGCAGCAGCAGCAGCAGCCCCTCCCCTCGCAGAAGCCACAGCAGCAGCAGCGGCAACAGCAGGTTTCGGGGCAGGTTTCAGGACAGCGTCAGCTGCAGCGCGGTGTCGTCCACCCTCCCTGCACCTATCACGTTCTGACAGGTGCTCGCCGAGGCCAGCCTTGTGGCCGCAGCCACCCACCGGGTCAGTGCTTTGCTCAACTTATTGACACTGTTCGTTT